CAGCTTAGACGGCGAAAGGAAGCAGGCTGGGACATACGGTGGTATGGGCATCGTACCGTGCCTTCTTTGGCGAGGACAATGCATAATAGCCGGTGCTCTAGCTCATTCTTAGCCGCGGATGCTGCACTCCGAGGCCCACGACCGACGAGGCCACGAGCTAGCGCAAGTGCAGCAGCGCGGTTCAGACAAGCGGCAAGCGGCATAACCATGGTGTCAATTGTTCCTGTTCTGTTGCCGGGCAACGGGCCTTGGGGAGGGCCTGGAGACGGAGGAGCGGCACATCGTGGTGTGGTGTGGAAGGAAGCAAAAAAGGGTGACGTAACATTGATGACAGCCGCCAAGGCTTCTTCTTCTCCGCCACGTCGACTGCCCTACTCGCCTCGTTCTCCTCGCCCGTGTTATGAACGCGGCGAAACAGGTAACCGTATATCTGGTGCTCCTTGGAGGGACGGGATGTCCCGGATGTGTGCTTTTTTGCTCCTCGCCGCGCCAGTTGGCTGACCTTTCTGCTGTAGCGGAGGAATGGGAAGTCCACTCGACGTCGGATTTCGGCGATGTGATTAAGTGGCGCGATGAAAGGGAGGAGAACTATCCGGTGCGCCTAAAGCGTACCTCCTTTACTGCGTCGACTCACGTCGTTCTGCGAGTACCAGACCTTGGGCTCTTTTCTGACCGCCATACTCTCTGTCAACTCCCCATTCAAAACCGCCGGGACTGGCAGCACTCCCTGTACGCTAATTTTGGCCGCAAATATTAATCACAGCTGCCAGGGTTCTTTTCCGCCACGTCTGCCCACAGCCCGCCCGCCTCGCGTTTGCAATGCGGCGAGACATGCTTGTTCGGTGCTGGTTGGCGGGATGGGATGGCCCCGGGTGGGTCAGTATATGCTGCCGCGCCTTTGGACTGACATTTCGCTTCAGTGGGCTTGCGCAGAGGAATGCGATGGAAAGAGTCCACTCGAAGTCGAATTAAGAACACGAGGGCCGAAATCCGGAGGAGGAGGGCTATCCAGTGCGCCGAAACCGTTTCTTCTCTGCAACGCACACTCACTTCTTTCTGCAAGTACCTGCGTTATGCTGTTTCTGACCGCCAAATTGCTTGCAGCAAGGTGTGTCTTCAGTGCCACCAATCCCCACGCGGCTGATATTTGTTGCCAGGATGTAGAGTAAATTGATGAAGATTCTCCGATTCCGCAACGTCCTCCGCACGTTCTTCCTGCACTGTGTCCTCCCTTGCGCTTTCCCCCTGCGCGATATCCACGCGGATAACTGCTCCAGGTGGCGCGTCCCAGGTGGCTGCCGCACTTTCAGCAATTAGTATGGCAGAGACTGCGATGCTCCGCGATCTTGGACCCGTGACGATGGCGCATTGGCTAACAGAGGAACAAAAGATGTGGGGGGCGGCCTAATTCGGTGTGTATGCCTCGTTGGCTCCTTCACGCGCGCTGATTTATCGCATGCTACACCACACGGATTGGCAAAACTTTTCGCGGTGCTAAAATGACGGGCAGCCACGGGCTCAGTGTAAACTACTACCCCGACGCAGGTCTGTGCGTGGTCTTTGACATTGCTGCAGTACTTGAAACTGCGTGCGTGAAACCGATCATACACATTGCTTCTCGCGTCTTCGCTCAGGCTGGCGAACTCTTGTGCGACGCCTCTGGAGAGCCCTCCACTCCTTCTACTTCTTCCAACAACCAAGCGGACTCGACGCGGCGCGAGGGGTTCAGCTTTCTGTTGTCAATAGTCGACTGTCGCTTTAAAGCGCTAGCAGAACCAACCCACTTGCTGCATTCAGTGTTGTTCATAATTTTTTTCGTGGTTTCTGCTTGGATTGCACGTCCTCCTGATTGGCATATACTCCCAGATCTTGTTTTCCCGTGTATATATTTCGGTAAAGTCACGTAAGGCGCGTTGCCGCTGAATATGGAATGTCGACCTCCGATTTCACTGCTTCAATGATACTCATGACCATTTGGGATTCCCTGTGCCAGCCCGGGCAGTCTGCGAACTATCAATGTGTGACTCTTTCTATTCCAGCTATCGCTATCGGATTCGCGGCCCGACGACCATGGCGCTTCTCATCACAATTCTCAGGTGCGTCACACTGTGTGGCAACTTGCAGCTCTCAAGCTTACCACCATGAGCCGCTCCGAGATGCGCCATCGCCTCGCAGATCTCTACTCTGCGAGATCAGCCATTGAAGCGGAGATCATCGATCTTGAGGCAAAACTCACCGATGTGTCCTTTGCCGCCATTCTGACGCTTGCAACCGAACTTATGGGGAAGATTTTCCAGTGCGGGGTAGACTCTGTCTCTGATCCAATCCACTTCATGCTCGACATCCGCAGTGTATGCCGTACCTGGCGACATATTGTAGACGGCGAAGCGCACCTTTGGACCCGGATTGTGATCGATTGCGCGCAGCTACGCGAGAGCCAGTGAAAATTTTTGAACTCTGGCTAAAAAATTCTCTGACACTTCCTCTGGACATGGAGGTCCACCTCAAGGCTCAACTTGAAGAAGACGTGGGCTCGACAATAGGTCCGATCTGGATGCTTCTGAACCATGTTGCAGCGCGATGGCGCTCCCTTTCACTGTCTTGGAATGCTTACAATAATGAAAAGCCTGGAATTCTCGAGATGCACATGCCATCAGATGGGCATTTGGTTGTCAGCCACCTGATAGTGCTTCAGCGCCTATCACTACGCAATGTTTACTTCAAGACCGAGCACCCTTACTCTCAGGATGCAGGCCCTCCGACATCTACTTGTGTATTCAACAACTGTCCCAAGCTGGAGTCCTTGTCAATTATACTACCGACTAATGCCTTCTCTCACCGGGCGCTACCCCATTCTCGGGTCGATAAGCCTCTCTGCCCTCCGTGCACTGACGGTTCTCTCGATCTCTCAGTCCCACCTGAAAGACACATTGTCCGTTTCTTAAGCTTGCTGCAGCGCCATTCATTGCGGACTTGACACTGGTGAATACAGTGTCAAATATTGCATTTGACGGCCCAGCACCATTGCGTCCATCCGCAGAACCACTGGAGCTGGCCCATCTACGCCGCCTCCGCTGTGATGGTACATCGACCTACCCCCTACGTGTCCTCAACCATCTCCGCTTGCCACTGCTGGATGACCTCACCGTTGCGCAAGAGTTGGACGAACTCGGGTGCCATACGTTCAAAAGCCTCATCGCGCACTCCGAGTGCCGGATCACGAGCGTCACCCTGCTGAATGTCAAGGACAGCGGTTGGAGCCACGTACCCCTAGGGAACTTTCTGCTGCTGTTCTCGAATGCAAGACAGGTCACTATCGGACACTCGCCGCTCAATCCTGTGGGTCCGAGTCAGGATGCCATGCCACAGATATTTCTCCACTGTGTGTTCTTGGGAAGTGAACAAACCGGGAATGTTTTTACCTTCCCTCGAGCGCCTACATATCCACGGCTTATCTCATGGCTCCACCCGTTATCTGGATGCCGTGCGCAAGTGGCTTACCTGCCGTCAACTTAACGGACGAGTTCACGTTAGCATCCGCTATAAGAGTAGTTTTCACAAAAATTAAATTGCTTGAGGTTTTAGTTTATGGTTGAGCTTTAAGCAATAGATGTGGTTGCAGCTTTTGGTTAAAAGGCACATTTTTGTTGCTCGACTGTGGTTGAGCTTTTGGCATTTGTGTTTGAGGTTGAGCTTTGTGATAAATCCTTGCGTGACAGAAGTCCTCGGTCGTGGAGAAGCTCTGCTGTGGTTTTGTAAGTATTTCTTGGCAAACTCACATCAATATTCACATATCCGAGTCGGCGCCTTAAAATAGTTGCACTAAGTGGTATCTTCCATTTCCATCTGAAAACTGTTCCTTTCAATATTTGAATGAGTACTGTTTAGCTAAAATACAATCTCTGACTACTGCTAGTGCATGTACCCACAAATAAATAATGTTGTCATTGTTGGCACTACCCATACATAGGTGCCGGAAGCGACGAGTCTGTGAGAGTGTGAGTCTGATCTGAGTGTCGGGGTTTCCACTTTCGGTCCCTGATCCGAACAGCCGCTACTCACATCATCACAGCCCTTCTACGCCGCACTAGAAGCTTGTCTGCCAAAACCTCAACCACAGCTAAGAGTCATACAACCGCCAACTCACACTCTGAGACCACGATGCACAGTTAGGGCAGAGCACGGGTCAGGGTCAACTCGCAGGGTTTCAGGGTAGGGTCGGTCAGGGTCAGGGTCAGGGTACACCGATTTCTGAACCCGGCCAAACCCGGACCCTTTCAGGGTCAACCCGGAGGGTCTAATAAGCTGTTGTGATGGGACAATTCCCTATCTAAACATGATTTTTGTGAGTTTTTAACAGATAAAAAAAAATCATATGTCACTCAAGTCACTCATGTGACATGTGAGATAGGAGTAAGTCAGATTAAATATGCTCAAAATCTTGAGGAAAAGGTTACATATGCTATATGTAAGCCAATATCATATAGCAAAATGTATATTATGTCAAAATTATTGTCCCAAATACATCTTCTGCTTCCATGTCTGCAACCCGTGGGTCAACCCGGACCCGGTTGGACCCGTACCCGGAAGGGTCAGGATTAGTCAGGGTCAGGGTCAGGGTCAGCCTTCTGAGACCCGGACCCGGACCCGTGCTCCACCCGCAGCAGCACAGTAAACTCAAACAAAAGCCACCATTAAGCGCTCGACCTCATATTGTAACCACAACTATGTAGCTGAAACACATTATGACATCTCAACCACATTTACACAAACCACGGTTAAGATGTAAATAATATTTTGTGATAACTGACCTCATAATCCGCAACATTGTTGTAAGCTGGCCACCAAACGAGGAGCTGGCAGTAGTGGTGAAGGAGCTTGGAAAACTGGTGGGAGATGTGCAGGTTGTGCGGGACCTAGAAGAGTTTCCCAAGCACCAGATTTGAAAGTGACTAGATATGTTTAAAGCTTTTGTTAACTCGATTCCATTCGCATGCCTGTCACATCAGTAGATAGGTTATTACCGCTGCAATCGAGAGCCGCCAAGCAGACCCGTTCACGCCACACTTCCCCGCCGCGCTTTTTGTGGGCGTCGCACCCCCACCAACCTCTCCCGAGCTGAGCGTCGCAATCGGAATCACAACGCCGCTGAGCGTCGTTGTGTGTCCCGGAATCAGGGCGCCAGGCGGCGCGGGGTCTTCTTCGACGCATACGGCGCCGCCATGCCCGTCAAACGTGCATTTGCTGACCGAGGGGACGAATGTCTGGCCGGGAGAAAGGGTCGCGCCGGACGGGAGGACTTCCGACGCGACGAAGCCGCCGGAGCTCTGGGCGAAGGCAACTGTGTGTGTTAAGCCCCGCGAGCGGAACGACAAGAGAGATGTGCGCACGGTCGACGGTGACGGGTGTGCTGAGCAGGACCAGGGTGTCCGTCGGGCCAGTTAGCGCCTCGAAGCTCTCCACGACCTCCTCGCGGTAGGTTGTAAGGCCGTCGGGGCCGACGGTGGACGGGATAAACGTCGTGCTCCGGGAGACTACGATTTGTGAGACTTGCGTCGTTGGCACGGGCAGGGAGAGGGAGACGCCGAGGAGAGTGGTGTCAGCAACAGCTAGCCATGCGTGTGAGAAGATCTGGGAAGGTTTCGATGGGGGCAGGCTTACTGGGCTTGCTGGCGATAAGTGCTACCAGAACGAGCAGCGGAGGGTGCATGAGGAGGAGCATGGTGGGGGAAGACAACGCTTGCTGGCGTCCTGCCCGTGGATACCGGCCATTTATCAAAGACGGTTCCTGTCCCGGTGCGAAAGCATCAGATTGTCCAGACATGCGACCGGTGGACGAAAATAGCTTGACTATTCTGTCTCCTCGGGAAGCAAGGCTTCCTAACAGACAGCATGAAGAGAGCGGCCATGTGCACCTCATTGTCACAGCATCGAGGCGGGGAATAGCTTTGGCATCGTCGGGTCGGTGGGGAGCAGCGGTACTGAATGAGTTGGAATGAGGCGGCGCGGAGGCATGCTGGGCTTGTACGCCACGGAAAGCGGAGAAGATTTCGCCCGCGGAGCTCATTGTGAAGGGATTCGTGTACCAGGCGAAGTTGTCGAGGCATAGTAGAACATGCTTGTCGGCGATGATATACAGAAATAGACAGGGAGAACTTTACCAGGAACACGCGCAGCCTGACTTTGGTGAGTCAACTTGAAGCAGTTACTGATATTGACTTGGACGCACCTATATTGCCGCTGTATACCACCTCCACCCAGCCCCAGTGTCCCTCCTCGTCTCCCTCCCGTCCGCTTTCCCTCCACCGCGCCGAGTCGAAAAGAACACCAGAGCCCGGCACGCGCGCCTCAGCAGTAGCTGCGCCGGCCCTTCGTCATTACCGTCGCAGACGGCGGGACGCGCAGCTCCGTGGTGGAGAGAGGAAAAGAACGCGCGTGGGAGCCCTGATCGGCTGCCCGCCGGTCGACGCCGATTGGCTCGTCGCACGTGCGCGCGATGACGCGATCGTGCCAAGCTTTTCGCGGGTTGGCTCCGCTCACCATGTCGCGCGCGCACGAAAGCCTACAGCGTGGACTGCTTACAGTGGTTTGCCCGGCGCTCCGACTTCACCACCTGGGAGACGCGCTCCTGGTCGCTTCATCTTGACGACTGCTCGCCTCGCCGTCGTCGACAGCGATGGCGCTGAGCCTGCTGGAGGAGCGCAAGCGATCTGCGTGCTCGATATATGCTGAGGTCGGCGCGTTGTTGGTGCGTTTTCATGAGCCATTGTGTAGAGCGGCCGCCTGACCACCTTTCCTCCCTTCTAGATTATGTTGGTAGCGCGACGACGGGCCCCACCATCGTCGGTCCCTCGACAGATGCGGGACCCTTGTGGGGCAGGCTGCTGGGGCAGGGTACGGAAAGAGGAGTGCCTGTCTGCCTGGCGCATTCGTGGCGCGTGATAGCTCGCTTGTCGTCACCCGTTCGCTGACCTTTGCCGATTGCAGATGCTTTCTGACCGTCGCTCCAGTTATTAACGGAGTAACCAGCCCCGCATCTCCCTTCCGCAATGCCGCTTGCTTCTGCTCGCCAGTAACAGGGAACCGACGAGGAACAAGTGCATGACAAGCTGGCGCTGAGGGAACGCGGGTGAGGGGTGAGAAGGAGAGGATCCTCTGGGCATTAACGCACCGTGGTGAGTATCATTCAGCCCCCGACATCGATGGAGATGTTCTCATTCGTGCGTTGCAGCCGTTTCCATGTCCTGCTTGCCGCCTTGACTCCAATTCACGCCGACACGATATCTACAAGTACTACCCGGCAGCAACACCTTCCCACTTGTTTGCACCACCACCGCCCCGATTATCCTCGTCACTTTTGCCGCCCTTGGCAGAGTCGACGCCAGCAACAGCGGTCACTGTTCTTTGCCGTTTCCTGCACGCTTGCCCGACGGCCCTTCACAGGCCGCACTGAGCTTCCGCTTCATTCACTCATTTTTCTGTCGTCTTGAAGAGGCTGACGCGAGAGCTGAGTTGACGTTGTCGAGCTGGTAGGACTCGCTTTCCTATTCCTTTTGACGACACTGACTTCTGTCTCAAGATCCTGCTCTCTATCGGCCCGGACTCGGACAACGCGTTAATGTGTGAGGGCGCCAGCGGTGCGGGCCCACACTCGCGGTATTTTGAGATGTTAAGCTCGCGCTTGCGAGCCGATTTAGACAATGCCTGCGCCTCTGACGGATCGTCGCGCACAGGGCATAAGTGACAAAGGAGGACTTGAAGGCCATGGTTCGTCATCTTGACATGTTCTCTCGCTGATCAGCGACTGACAACCCAGCAGATACATGATTTCCTACCATTTGTACGCGCAAAACACGAAATCATTGACGGCCTAGTTTTTGCTTCACTCAGCGTCGTATATACTCTCGTACTCCAACTCCCCACATTGATTTCTGCGACTAGTCGCTGCTCCACCAATCGCATCTATCAAGAGCTCGAGATTGTGAAAACGGCGCGCGTGCTTCGAATCTTTTCATCGGCCGACCAGCGGCCGATCGCTTCCGATTGGCCATCTGCATGTGGATGGAAACACTGTGGTGCACACGCGGCACATCTTTCTCCTCCTCCTCATCGCATCCGTCCCTCACAATGCTTCCCCCAGAGCTACGGGGCGAGATTCTGCGCTACCTTGGGTGTGCCGATCTCCGGTCTTGCGCGCTCAGTGCCTCACGGCCTTTTTTCTCTCTCGCGCGCCCGCTGCTCTATCGCCTGTTACACTTGGATGTCCGCCCGCTCGCTTTGTTCATCCCCAAGCTCGTGTTCTTCACCGAACCTCCTCCATTCGCTCAATATGTGCATGTGCTCCGCGCAATCAAGTACCATATGCCGGTACCAGTGGAGCCGCGGAGCGTCCAACACCGTGCCTCCGAATCTCACCGCTTCAGTGCAGAGAAACTTCTCTCAGCATTCAAAGACGGAAAAGGATATGTTCCATTGACACGTCCAGAGGAGAACCCACCGGCAGTCTCATGGGCCGCCATCCTCTCCAGCTTCCCCCACCTCACGTCCTTAACCTTCTATATATGGGTCAATGTCGCCGAGCCGGATCGCGCCGTGGTCATTGCACAATGGGACGACGTGAGTCGCAGCCTCAGGCAAGTTCGTGCATTGACCCTCCGCAGGTGTGTGCCTTCTTTGCGTGCCTCCCCCGCCGTCCTCCCGCGATCGCTGACAAATCTGCGTGTGGTCTGCTACGAGTCTGGCGGACAATTCGTCCTGACGCTATCCGAGGCTGTGCACACCGGAACCCCCGCGGGTCTCGCACTGCTCCCTCCCGCGCCGGTCTTGCAGGCACGGCTGCAAGCACGGTGCAATGGCGGCTATGGCTGGCCTTCAATGGGTGCTGGTCATGTCGACGTTCTTCCGACTCGAATGGAATGTGAAGCCTTCAGATGGTTTCGGTGTTGATAAGTAGTTCAAATAGGCAAGAAGAATGACACTGCTCTGCACTTGAGCACCACAGAGCCTTTCAAATATAACGACTCTCCTCTTCTGTGACGGCCATGTTGAGCGCGCTGCCCTGATTGGTAAAGTGTCCACTTGCCGCTCGGAAGGAGGCACACTTGCTAAATGCGTTGCGCCATCTCAGCATTTCCCTTGTGGACAGACTCGGAGGTGACGAGACAATAAAGGAAGTGGGGAGCTAGTACTAGTGTAAGCCTTCGCGTCGTACAGGAGCATTGGATGCCTGGCCGACCGTCGTTGAGAGATGTTCCGCGGGCGGCCCCCGCATTGCAACGGAACGCGCTCAGCAGAGCTGTCTGAGCCCTGTGCCAGCGGGAATGTCTTTCGTTGCGCTTGAGAGTGGGCAGGCCTCAGGGGGTGGAGCTCGTATTCAAGGAAGATTGCGATGACCTTCGATTCCTGTCCGCCAGCCAACGTACTAGTACAGGCCCCCTACACTGTCACTACACAGCGCGAAAAGTGGAGCTCGAGATGTGGCCTTGACAAGGCGGAGTCGCTGCGCTGATATGTGAGAGCAGCAGAGCACTTCGAAGTGTGCGACGCGATGTGTCTTGCGTGATGGGCCTGTTCCGGCGGCGGATATCCTGCGTTTGCGGGACTGAGCGAGGAAGGCGGAGTTGGACGAATAGGGGATGTCATGGTGTCGAGGCGCAGCAACAGAAAAGACAGACGTTGGAACGAGAGGAAAGGGGTGCTGGGTGTCGGTAGAATGGAGCACGGGGGAGGGCAATACTTTCCTGGATCGGCCGTCGACAGCGCTTGCGGTCCGCCAGGCGTTGGACGCACGATTCGACCTGGGAAGTACAGGGTTAGCAAGAGGCGGACAAGACAGACAGCGTTGGCGCACCACAGCTGGTCAACACCCCGCATGCCCTCCCTGAGCGCTAACCCTCGACAATTGCTCCATTCTGCACCGCAGTCTTGCCAGTATTCCGCACTGAGCTCGTCTTTAGCAGAGCGAAAAGCGCAAAGGAAGATGCTTACATACGTGTGTTTGCTGGCGCCAAGGCAGGAAGACCACGCATGCCCAGGCTTGCTTCGAGGGCGGCAGGCTCTGACGCTATAGACGAGAGAGTGGTGGCCGCGGACAGCGGGCTCATGGGCGGAGGAGACAAGAAGGAAGAATCGGATCAGCGCCGAGCCGAAAAAGGAAATCCGCTTCTTCTCCTCTTCCTTCATGTCGATCCCGCAGTCCCCAGCACGCAGCATGCGGACGACCTTCCTCTACTGCACTGCTTATACCAACGCATTCACGGGCTCGTATGGAAGCCTCAAGGTCGATGACGTGGCACCGCTGCCAAGGACGACGACGGGCGGCGGGTCGAGAGGGCTGGGTGGAGCGGAGCGCCGCATCTGAGGGTGTCGTCTTAGGCTTACTGAGGAATCCGTAGAGCTCTTGGTGCTCTCCATGGTGCGTGGTTTAGTGTCTCACATGGACACTGACTTACCCATTCTCCTTCTCGCAGGCGCAGCTCTCCTACGCCTTCCACCTCCACACACAGACCTTCCTGTGGCTACCCCCTCAACTCCCGCGTCTCCTATGACTTGCTGGCACGATTCAAAACCCGGACTGCCATGGTTTTAGCTAGCACGATGACCAGCATCCTCAACAGGCCAGCGCGTTGGGAAAACGATGTCCACACACCTTCCCATCGAGATAGGCCTTGGTGCGACGCTTTCGAACGGTTCCGAGGGTCCAAAGTGCGTTTTTAGACCCACTTTCGGGATCACCAAGCTCATTTTGTTGCAGAACGCGTGAAACGCGGTGCCAGCAGCATATCCTTCGCCATTTCCTCCTCCCAGAACGGTCCCCTTCCCTATCTCACATCGATACTCGTCTTTCTCGATAATTTACCGCCGACAGGACACCGCTGTCGCTGCTTGCCCTCCAATATAGCGCCAAGACTCGTACCATGAATATATCCCCTGTCTGCCCTTCCACGCGCCAATAAACGACTTCCCGCACCACTTCTCACAATGACTCATTATCTTCCGCCACTCCCGAACAATTCTCTTCCCTCGTTCTCAACGTCGTCAATGCGCTCTCCTCCCGCATCCCGTAACGAAGTTCTTAGCCATCTTCTGGCCGTCAAAGAGCGCCCATCGTCTATCGGAGGTCATTACCTTTCGCGTGGACGACATGCGGTCCCCGTAGCACCTGCGCCACCACTTTTTTGCCCGAAAATCGCTTACACGGCCAAGCCGCTTTCGCACGGGTCGCAGCCTCTTCCGACTTCAATCATGACTGCCCACCAACTAATCGGATCCCTTTGCCATGGCCATTTACTCCGTTGTCGGTAACGCTGCAGGAGGTGCATCCGCTGCCGCTGGGACTGGTTGCACAGACAACTGTCGCATGCTCTACGACATTGTTTCTGGCTGCCTGCTCACAATGTTTGCATGTGTCTGGGTCTCTATCCACCCAAACGTCAAGCCGATGCTCATCGGGGTGCTCGCACCGGAGCTCATCGTCGGGCTAGCCCTGACTCTACCAGGACATGCGCTGTCTGGACGTTATCCGCGCTGCCTTTGTCAGAATGCGCGATACGGGGTCAACGGAGCGGGACGAGCGGGCAGAGGCGTGTTCTGGGCACATTCGCCAGGGGATTGCGTGCACGGCCGACATCACACTCAAGCCCGCCAAGGTCAAGTGCAGCAAAGACGAGGAAACGGGAAAGTTGTTTTGTCCGGTCATCTCGGCGGTGGCAACGGGAAACAGGGTGGACGATCGCTGTCGAGACTGGAGCCAAGCCCGAGAGTTTGTCGGGGAGAACCAGAAATCCTGGGTGTAATATTCAGTGCTTCACGAAACTCCATATGTTCGTCCCAACGTGATCCAGCTTCCCGTCAATCCAAAACTCGTAGGGCGTCCATGCCATCGCAATGTCGTTGTCAACGAGCACCGTTGCTACACCCCACTCTCCACGTACCCAGCCGGCCGCTCATGCCTAAAGCGCACCGGGCGCGGGCGCTTGTGCCTGCGCTCAAACAGCCCGCACTCGTCGCACACGATCTTCCCCGCCGAAAGCTTGCTCAGGCGCCACCCGCTCGTGTCCGTCGTCCAGCAGTTGAAGCAGCACCGGCGCAACGTGACACGGGCGGAGGGCTGCGGCGCCGGGTCCCCGGGGTCGCCGGCCGGACCCGGGCCGGTGGGTGGGGCCGCAACCGCATGGTCTGCGGCAGGCGATATATCGGGTGCACTGGGGTACTGTGTGACACATCAACGGGTGTTCAGCCATCCTAGTTAGATACGCACATACTCTCCGGCGTAGGACATGACAGATCTGGGGCTGGGAAGGTTGGCGATCGGCGAGGTCTTGCGGAAGGGGAGAAAGGAATGGACAAGGAGCTCGCCTAAAGCCCCCATATATATCAACCTTGCCCGCGACCCGCGGGTGATCTTCCGATCGGGGGTTGGAAGCTGCAACACCCAGTAACACCATTGACCTCTGATTTGCGGCCTACCACGGAGTTCCCACTCCCCAGGGTCCGACCTCCGTCCATAATTCCCCCACATGCCCGTTCAATCACCATCCCCTCGCCGCCCGCGCCAGCACAAAGGGCGTCCCCGCCCTCTTCCGCGTTTGACCACCGCGAGCGCGCCTCCGCATGTACGCACTCGGCCCGGACTCCCCGACGCCGCGCACGACAAGTTTGCAGCGCTCTCCCGAGCACTATATCCCGTTTCTCCCGTGCTGGCGCGACAAGTCCCCGACCTGGGCATCGACGGGTTAGACACCGATCGGGTCGCCTTTGCTTGTCCCCATCGAGGCAGATTGCACCGGCAGGTTGCTTGACAACGCGCCACTTCCCGAATATATGTCCCGCGTATATTAGAGGCGCTGTCTGGGAAGCTGCATCTGCGCCGGCAACGGGATTCATCATAGCTTTACCGGGAGAGAAGAATTTGGCGTTGGACGACGGGCACGGGAAATGGTCGATGAAGGAGCAGGTGATGTGGCTGGCTTGCCCGCGTCGCGGGTTCGTCTTCGTCTCCTCCAGATGTGTGGCGCGCGGGAAGAGAGCGAGTAGAGAGTGTATTGTTACCGCAATGCGAAGTCCCAAGAGGATTGTAGAAGCGCCACATATAGCGTCGTACGGCGAATTCGAGGAAACAAATAGTGGAGGCGACTCGGAGTGCATCTTGCATAAAATGAGGTCGTATGTTGCAGAGGGGTGGATGATGGCGATGAATTTGAGCGCGGGGAAGGTTTAAGGCGGTATAAGACGTTGGGCTGGCTGCTGAACGGGCACGTAGATTCGCTGGTAGATAGCACTTGATGTCTGCTGCTGGCGAACGAGATGAGCATTGTCCTGGTTATTATCAGCCAGATACGATGCACCAACAGACACATGGCCTTTAACCTCTCCTCTTCTTCTCGACGAGCGAGCGCCACGACGAAAGCCTGGGTAGAATTGAGCAGCGCTGCCAGGATTTGAAAGGGGAGACCACCCTGCAGCCCGTTGCGGATAGCTTTACTCTTTCCCTCCTCACACCGACTCCACCATCTCCCTTCTTCGCGTTCACGCGTGGTTCTTGCGTGGTATTCGCAGAAGACGCAGGTCGTGGAGGCGAGCGGCAGCAGAGAGCGTATACGAGCATAATTGAGCGCGGAAGCTTAAGTAAGGCGGAGCCCGTCATGCTCGGGGCCGCCGTGGTATGTACAATAAGGAGTTCTGCGGACAAAACGGTCAGGACGTGAAAAGTCGGCAAAAACGCGCTTTGGACGCACCAAGATAGTCCCCGACAACGCTAATCGTTCGTGTTCTTCTCTCCCAGTCGCATTCGTCAGGAGACAGCGCCCCGCGTTTCCCAGCCGCAGCGTGAGGTAGGCGCAATAGGTATTGCCCTCCTTCTCCGACTGAAGACGAGCAATCAGCGGTCAGTACTGCACACGGACAGCTGGGGAGCATACCAAGCTGCTTCTGTGTGCCATGAACGCCGCATACGATGATTGAGCCGCGAGAGGAACGTCTTACGGCGGGCGGCAACGCGGGGGTGGTGGAGGTTGGGTGGAGGAGCGGAAGAAAGAAGGGACGGGCCGATCATGCCACGTCACACGTCAAATTCCTCTTCCTCTTGACGACCACTCACCACCCGCGTACTGCTGTGGCGAGACAGGCCAGCGCCAGCCAGTCTAGTGCGTTCTTACAGCCGACCGGGAGGAGCCTGACTGAGCTTTCTTTAGCCACTGTGTCTACGACTGATGCTGCGTGGCGCGACCGCCTCCATTGCCGGCGGCCAGAGGATAATAAAGGGGAGAGCTGTTGATAGGGCCAGGAAACGGAACGCTAGTCATCGTGGTGCGCGATAGTGTGCTTGTCGTCCGCCGTTTTTGACGTTTACTCTTTGCAGATTTCTCCTGCTGTATCTCCGCCGAGCCCAACGGTACTAAGCGCCACATTTCCCCACTCTCAGAGCTCTAGCGCTCTCGAATCCGCTCGCTCGTTCGCGCCAATGACGAGCAGCATGCCACACGACGAACGACCCGCAAGACCAGGCGAGTGGAGAGTGAGCGAAGAGTGGCGGGCTGAGGGGAGTATCGCTCGTCGGAACCGTACTGTGGTGCGTCCCCCCCTTCCACGTATCGAGACACATTTTCTCAATTGCGCTTTCTAGCTTCATGGAACGGGGAACACTTTGCCGATTCCCTTCAAACTCCAAACTCCCTCCCGCCACTATCATCACCTGTACAACCACCAACTTCGTTTCCCGGCACTCCAATTCTTCGCAGATCCAGCGCGCCGCGCTTCATCTTCCTGCATGTTTCGTCCACACCGAGGGCGATGTACTTGAGCCCAGCACAACTTGAACTCCTCATCGCCGTCTTTATACACGTCGGGTCCGTCATCTCGCAAACTAAGCGCGGCGACTTTACCGCGTCCGTCTGTCTAGCTTTCGCTCAAAACACGCTCCTTGGCGTCTCCCTCTCCCTACCTCTGCCGACGACGACACAAATCTCACAATTCGTTGTTTCCGAGAGTAGAATGTTCATCCCATATACTGTCGGTGCAGATGGCCTTACAACGTACCGCGAAGAGGTGGTGCAGAGCTTCGAGGCAATCACTGGCCCGACAGAAACCCTGGTTCTGTTGAGCACACCTTTCACTGTTGACTGTGTTTGGTGGCCAGCTTATGACAATGCCGATGTTGCGGATGCTAACCTGAGCTTGTCTGCTTTGGCGGCGGACAAGCCACTCGCACATCGCATCAAGGTAGCCGGCAGAGCGATGAGATGGGCCGTGGATATGGAGGCGCTCGAGCGAAGGCAAAAGCATGCCGGGATCCTGCACTTCAAGACCCGCAAAGTGGAGAAATTCCTGTGCCATGGCGTGCGGGCTCGGACCGGTGGAATTGAGCGGCAAGTGTCCGATAGTGACCCGTCTTGCCTTCGAAAACAGCAGCAGAAAGTCGCCTATGGGTACGAGCCTCCATCCGCCGTCATTAACGTTCAGCAGGGTGACGCTTGTGATCTGGCACTCAGAGTGCGCCATCAGATTGGTAAATGTGTTGCACCCGCGTTGGTCCAACTCTTGCGCAACCGTCAGGTCATCCAGCAGCGGCAAACGGAGATAGTTGAGGACACGGAGGGGGTATGTTGATGTGCCATCACAACGGAGGCGGCGCAGATGGACCAGCTCCACTGGTTCTGCGGATGGATGGAATAGCGCTGGACCGTCAAAGGCGATATTTGAAACTGTATTGACCAGTGTCAAGTCCGTAATGAATGGCGCTGCAGCAAGAACAGACAACGTGTCTTCCAGGTGGGACTGAGAGATGGAGAGAATCGTGAGTACACACAGGGCAGAGAGGCTTATCGACCCAAGAATGGGACAGCGCTCGTGAGAGAAGGCGTTAGTTGGCAGTATGATGGACAGTGACTCCAGCTTGGGACAGTTGTTGAATACACTAGTAGATGTCGGAGGGCCTGCTTCCCGAGAGTACGGGTGCTCGGTCTTGATGTAAACATTGCGTAGTGATAGGCGCTGAAGCACTACCAGGTGGTTTACAGCCAAATGGCCATCCGATGGCATGTGCATCTGGAGAATTGCAGGCTTCTCGCTGATGTAGTCCGGACTACAAGACAGTGAAAGGGAGCGCCATCGCGCGGCAATAGAATCCAAAAGCATCCAGATCGAACCAATTGTCGAGGTCTCATCCTCTTGCGCCTTGAGGTGGACCTCAATGTCCAGAGGAAGCATCAGAGAGTTTTCCAGCCAGAGTTCGAAAAGTTTCACTGGCTCGCGTAGCTGCGCGCAATTGATAACAATCCGGGTCCAAAGGTGCGCTTCGCCGTCCACAATTTGTCGCCAAGTACGACATACGCTGCGGATGTCGAGCATGAAGTGGATTGGATCAGAGACAGTGTCTACCCCGCTCTGAAAAATCTTCCCCATAAGTTCAGTTGCAAGCGTCAGAACGACGGGAAATGACACATCAGCGAGTTTTGCCTCAAGATCGATGATCTCCGCTTCAATGGCTGACCTCGCAGAGTAGAGATCTGCGAGGCGATGGCGCATCTCGGAGCGGCTCATGGTGGTAAGCTTGAAGCCTGTGAATGGCCACACAGTGTGACGTGCATGAGAGAACTGTGTGACGAGAAGCGCCATACTTACGCAGTGACATCTGAATGGAAATAGATGCACAGACAGTTCGCCAGCAGCATCACATGCTTACAGGACATGTCCACGGTAGCCCCCAGCAGACGGGAATATTGTGGGAAGAATCCCACGGAAGGGTCAAGGTGTGGTGGAAATTCCGAGTCGGCGGTAACTCTGATTCTTGTAGAGAAATAAATACAGGAAAAGAAAGAAACCTGGAAGTATATCATCAGGAAGACGTATGTATAATCCAAGCGAAAAGCACAAACGAAGTTACACTTCGGTGGATAGGAGGACGGGGCCTAGATACTACGGACTGCACTTCTCCGTCGTTCGCCAGAACCACCGGGCCGGACGTTGAAATGTCAACAAGAGCTTGACAGGCTCCGCCTGCATTTAGCGCACCACTGCCCGTCTATGGGTCAATCAATTCTTGTCCCTTTGCGGTCGCCTTCAATGTGCAACACACACTAAATTACGCCCAATACTCTGGCTCAAATCTAAACTCGTGACTTGTAACCGACCACCGCCCGCTCCGCTCGGGCCACCAGAAATTGGCGCTTCACCGCTGAAAGCGCCAAATTGTCACGCTTGCAGCGCCACACTGTGACGTCTGAAGCGCCAAAATTGTGACGTACTTCTTCTCACACTCATCAGTATGTATTGATGTAGCAGAAACCAGTGGAAATCTCTTTAAAAAGGAGTTGTTTGGGCCTGAGTGATTGTCAGAGATACATATATACATGAGTAGTAGGGACATGGCCTCTTTTGCAGTGTGATTTCGGCCAGAAATGCTGCAAAAATTGAACAATTCCCAGTGTGAAAGTTGACTTAGATAGCATTCTATGTGTGAAGGGGTTGACATTTGACTGGGAACTCACATAGGTTATATACATTGGTACCCAAGGTACCTTCGGCGCTCATTTATTCCAATCCCAAATTTTTTTCCCTTGGTGCGTTGTCACGCTGCAGCGCCAAAGTGTGACTTGCAAGTCACTCTGCAGCGCCAGATGTGTGACATGCAGCGCTAGTTGCGTGACATGCAGCGCCAATGCAGCGTGACTGCAGCGCCAATGCCATGTGACTGCAGCGCCAGCGTAACGTGACTGCAGCGCCAGCATAATATACTGCAGCGCCAATGTGTGGCGGGTGTTGCGCCAAGTTGTGGTGTTTCACCTGAAGGCCTTGAGGACTCGGACCTATGCAGTCAATACCACTTGAAAGCTGAGCCCATTCAATATCGACACATCCTAGTCAGCCAAATGTATACATTTCCTTAAGTAGCATGCAGAGACAAGACAAGTATCAATACAGCGTACGCGCCCGGCAAGTGGCAACATCTTGATCACCTGGCGAATCCTCACGCTTGCACCGGCAGCCGAGTATGACTGCAAGCATTCATAGCATGGGCTGCATGCATGGCATAGCGGGCCTGCTTCACACGAAACACCTACGCAACCCAGTCAGCAACCGGCGATTGACAAAGCAAACCTCATTCACCTAATACCTCCTGCACCTGTGAGCCGCTCCGCTCGCGTGCTTTCAGCGTCCGCAGACAGTTGGAAGTTCATCGCTGAACACGGGCATGCTCACATCTTGTCAGCCCCCGGGCTGCAGCCTGCCGCGTCACCCTCTCGAGGCAACGGTGAGGAGGCACTGAGCCGAGACTGACCATTGGCACCTGAATACTTAGATTGCCTCCGCCAGTAACGGAAACGAACGCCTAGCACATGTTAACGTTGGAGGCGGGCGAACCCGGAACCCGTCTTATAACACGGCCACGGCCTTGTAAGACGACAGCGGCTCGTGGCGAACGTGCTTCTCGCAAAACGTCTCCGTAACCCGGTCAGCCATCGATAGCAATTGGCAAAGTGCTGACTCACCAGCTAGCTCCCCAACCCCCCAGATTGCCGAGGCGCTGTCAACGTCCGACTGGAGCTACAAGGGTGGGATGCGGCGCCGCGCGGAAACGGGTAGCGGCAAAGGCCCACCACTTGGTCAAAAAGCAAAGCAATGGCCCGCCAGTCTGGATACGACTAGTGGAAGGTGAGCACTGAGCATACACGATGACCGCCACGCACCATCAGTACAGAGGCGCTCTTCAAGTCGAGCGACGGTGCCGAGAGCCTAGGAAAACGGGTTAGCAAGCACATGCTGGCCAGCAGCACGTGTGTCATCTGCGGCGTGCATGGGCTGCCCATGACGACACGGAAAGGCAGCGTAGATGGCGGGCGGGGTCGGGGCATGCCGTTAAATTGGGCGCGGCGGTCCGCCTTCCACCACCGATGGGCGCGCAATGATTTCTGTAAGCAACACAGACCGCACCTCATTTCTCTGCCAGTAGCGCGCATGTGAGTGACGCTCCTGCCCTTCAAGTTGGCCGACGAGACGAGGTGGGATGCCGCGAGGGAGTCCGTTTGTTT